TAAAATAGTTTACATGACTTTAAAGATTTAACATGACTTTAAGTCATTTTGGAAGTATTTGGTAATCCTTAAAAGCATAAGGAATTCCTTTGTGTGATTGTTATCACATACAATTATTAACACAATTTAGATTGTGTTCAACTTGTATCCCCCCCCCCCCTAAAAAGCATTTAAAACCATTAAAAAGGTAGATTATAGGGGTATGAACTCACTTGATAAGTGGTGATTTAGGCAGCATTTCGTTTCTATAAATGATCTTTCTCGAAGAAACCGCGAGTTTTTGATTAAAACTAGGCTTTACGTGGGCAGCACTTCGACTGGAAAGAGGTTAGCTTCTCGAGAATTTCGGGGCTTTGGGGCTTGCTTCGGGTTTTAGATATGATACCGGGGCTTTGGGGGGTTGTAAGAAAGTTTAGGGAGGTGAAAGAAGTGAAAAAGGATGAAAAATGGTGTAAAAATGAGTTAAGAACCGGAGAGTCTCGCAGGCTATTTATAGGCCGAAGCCTCGGATCCGAAGCAAGGGGAAGGAGACGCGTGTCTTGGACAGGTGGCGAGGGGGAGGCTTCGCTTCGGACATCTGGCGAGGCGCGTCAGATCATGAGTGGTCGCAACTTCAGTCGAATCGGAAGAGGACACGGGTCCGAGCTCGGAGGCTCCACCGTGCGAAGGGCGTGTCGGATGCGCACTGGACCGCAACTTCGGTCCAATCAGAAGCTGACACGAAGCGACACGCGGCAGCCTCGCATGCGAGGTGACGTGGCCGGTTCTCAGCCTTGCGATTTTTCCCGGTTTTCAACGTTTTTCGATTTTTGTGTGCTCAAAACTTGCGAAATTCATAACTTTCGCATACGAGCTCCGTTTTCGACGTTCTTTATATGCACGCGTAGGTCAAATTATACTCTACGACTTTCGTTTAGACTTTGTTGGCAAATTTTGAATTTATTTTTAATATTATTATTTTTAACAGACCGGGACAGGAAAATCCGTTAAAAATTCATAACTTCTTCATATGACGTCCGTTTTTGTCTGTCTTTTTACCGTTGTACTACTATTCACGAGACCTTCAATTATCGTTTAGGTTATGTTGGCTAAAAATCACTCGATCTTTATTTCGAGTTTTTAGCTGTCTACTGCTAAACCGAAACTTAGAAAAATCATAACTTCCTCATACGAAGTCAGATTTTGACCTTTTTTTATGAAAGTTCTCGGTTTAACATAATCTACAACATTTATTTAGATTTTTATGGCTAAAAAGCCGTTTATTGAAAATTCACTTTTTACACTGAACAGTGTTTTGCCGATTTTGTCGCGGATCTTCGATTGGTCATAATTTCTTCGTTATAACTCGGATTTCAGTGTTCTTTATATTTTTGGAAACCTTGTTACAATCTCTACCACTTTGTTCATCCCAATTAAGATTATTGAACAATTTATTTTTGACACTAAATTTGACTGGTGTTACATAATCGAATGTTAATATTTTTGAGTTAGAGATAGTTCTTGAACTCCATAGCTTAATTTGGATTTGTAATGTTAATATTTTTAATTTTGATTTATGAAATGTTACTCTTTTTATTTCTATTTCTATTTCTATTTCTATGTCTTTGATGTGTATAGAATTTTCTGCTGCTGTATAGTTTTTTCAACTACTTCTAGGTTATTAACAACAATAGGTACTCTCGATTTAAGCAATTCACCTAAAAACTTTTTGTCGATGATAAATCTATTTTGGTTGGAGAGCAACAACTTGTGTACAGAAACAGAACTAGACTCTAAAAGTTAATGAAGAAACAAAGGGGATGGGACTTTAGTATTTTTGTACTTCTAATAGCATTGTACTTTTAGTTTACCCCATCCTATGGTGTATGAATTTAAATGTATTGTTATTATATGTATAAAACAGTGTAATATACGAATACATAAAATTTGCGAAGGGCCCATTTTTTATTTTGCCCAGGGCCTCCAATCATCTTGGCCCGACCCTGTTTGTGTGCCAAGTTCCTGAAGTCTAATATTTTTTTTTTTGAAAGTGTCGTATGATAGAGTAGATTTCAAGTATTCCAAAAACTCGAACGGATTATTTTTTCGAGTTGTAGAACTCCAGGAAATCGCGTTTAAAGTTCTGCGTCTAATTGACTTGAAACATCCAGTTTTTCGACTTTTGCAAATATTTTTGCTAAAAATATTTCGAGTATGGAATTAAATATTAGACCATAGTTTGAGTCCAAAAAACGCTCTCAGGTAAAAATATTTCGAGTATGGAATTAAATATTAGACCATATTTCGAGTATGGAATTAAATATTAGACCACAATTGCTTAATACGAATTTTTAGTTTTTCAGACGTATTAACTAGAGTTGCAGTTTGTGCTTTGTGATTCGTTTGAGATTTCCCACAAATGGAAGTAAGATACCATCTGGTATCTTATAATAGTTGTAATGAGACTATATATTTTTCAAAATACGCATTAAAGCTCAATAGGTCAAATTACAAATAGTTTTGCGGTGAACCGACTGTCTACAGTTTTAGACCTAAGTTTTGGGATGTCACACTGACTGTGTAAGATACCATGATGTTTGATTGTACATCTGACTGAATGTGCCGACTGATGAAAAATGATCATTTTGCCTTGCTGAATAAACACAATTGTGTAAAAAGATAATCAAACAACTCAAATTCAACGTACTGAATAAACACGATTGTGTAAAAAAATCACAAAACAATTGCAACTCTTATGAATCTTGATCTAATCATTGGTGAGTTTCAACAATCTATTCAAAAATCACATTTTTTAACCTACCAAGTACCAACTGTTTTGGCATTCAAATTGCAAGAACTTTAATGACAACTAACGAATATTTGAGCATGAACTACCAAACTGATCAACACCAACTGTTTTGGCGTCCAAAATCGCAAGAAACTGATTGTGGATTCTTTTGGACATAATCAGAAAGCATGTTTGTATCTATAAAATGCATAACATCTGAAAACATGCCAAATAATTACTAGATAGTCCCAAAGATAACAGAAAACAGAAACAAGATGCCAAACATCCTCAATTCAGACCTACAAAAGTGTAATATAGCTTAATTTTAACCATTATAATCAACTAAAAGTGTCAAAAGAAGGTATATATACAATTGATTCAACCCTAATTTATATAGCAAAACGATTTGGAGATAATTTGATTACTAATTCTTTTCCGATTTGGAGAAAATATTTGGAGAAATCGATTTGATTACCAATGATTTTGAGGATGTCGATGGAAGAAGGAAGCGATGGCAACGACGATGATGGAGGATTGTTGATGGCAATGGCAACGATGGCCGATGGGAGACGAAAGCAATGACGATGGCGATGGCGACAAGGATAAGGATTTTCGTCACTAATAAGAGGAGCGATTTGGCTCACCATAACTCCACAACTTTTCATAATATGCCATCAAATTGCCCCCTATCTCATTCAATTCATACTTTAATTCTATACCGGTTAGTACTACCATTAAAGACGATTTTTTTTTGATAACTTCAGCCTTTATTTTTCTGTAGCTTATCTTGGGATTTTCGATTATTTCATTTATAAAGTGTTTTTTTTTATCTAAGAATAAGTTACAATTGAACCAATTATGAATGTCCTAGCACAATAATGCTCATTAATTAAGAACTTGATATGGAAAGATATTTCCTTACTCATTTGAGTAGCCCGTAAGGCCGTAATCTAAAAGGACATGTTGAGTTATTGTCATTTTTATAACATTCGGTGAATAACCTAATTGAATCATTTTTTTTCGTACCATAAGTTAAACCCATTATAAACAACAAAAATGCTAAACAATTACTTAAGTTCTTTAAAGTTACATAATCTCATGCCAATGATGGGTACCATTGTATCCCATTTATGATTTTGGATCATGAATGGGGAACACATGGACTTATGTACCCTCATCTACTTCATCACCGATATCATATACATCATATCTAAGAATAATAATTATGTGGCTCAAAACGGATCAAGAGACTTCTTCAAATGGTATACTCATCATATGTTTCGTGATCAACATATAAGTAATTAGGCATAAATGAATACATATCATCATCAAAGTTATCACTTTTTGCATATCTTCTACTTTATCTTCCTGAGTCCGCTCGAGTATGGGTTCATTGTGGTGATTAATGTGTATGCACTTACCCTTCCTTCATTATCATGCCCAACATTAAGAAACCTAACATATCATCATTATCTCTCAGTCCTCTCGACCCATCTTCCAATGACCTTTGTCCAAGACAATAGTAAGTGTCATCATGCTTCTTGTTAGTCAATTTTTCAAGAAAATATATGAACTTCTTCAAAAATGTGGTGCTAAAATCAACATCCCTAACAAAAGCTTTAAGAAGGTCGAAGTATACTATCGGTTTCGGAACAAAGAGTCCTTTGTAGTGAATATCCACAGTTAGGAACCTACCATTGTCGATTTCTTCTACACTAGATGAACATGTCATAAACAATTTCTTTGTAAGAAGCTTTGATTGTTGTGTGATTGTTTGTGTTTGAGAAAAACTACTCGAACTCTGATTTGTAATGGTGTGTAATCTCATTCAGTGGAGAGATAATCTTTTAATAGCCATGTAATATCCACATAAGCCTTTATTTTTTCTAATTTGTAAAATTATCAGATAAATTTATTGTTGTCGGTGACCAAAGATTATTACGTGGATACCGATCTAAGATTATTGGTAATACATAGACAAAATAACCTAAATGTGTTGGTAATACTTGAACATTGACCTAAGTTTATTTATAATACATACACAACAAGAAAGATTAATACTATTTTTTTACTAAGTCAAAAAAGTTGATTATCCTCCTGATCATCATCCCTTTTCAAAATTTCAATTACAAATTACAATCGTTGAAGTAATTAGTCACTTTTAGCTTTTGCTTGTTAACCATTAACTTCTCTGTCGCTTGATCACTCTAGAAACAGCAGGTAGGAGAAAACAATGAAGTCTGCAATGTCCAGATCCATCCTCATGAATCCTGCCTCTTCTTCTATACTCCGCCGGGGTTACACCTCGGAGTGTGCTCCGGAGCGTAAAGTCGCCGTCTTGGGAGCAGCCGGCGGTATTGGACAGCCGCTTGCAGTTAAACCCTCTCGTATCTACCCTTTCTCTATACGACATAGCTGGCACTCGTAGATGTCAGATTGTCAGCCATGTCAACACCAGATCTGAGGTTCATCACAACTTAATCATTCCTCTTCTGCTTTTAATCTTACTGATGTTCATTTCTTCGGATGATCACTTCTAGGGTTCCGATCTGTCGAATTGTGATTCTTCTCTTCGTCGTTGTAGTTTAATTAATTAAGCTTGATCTGTTCATGTGATGTTTTTGTTATATAGAGGTGGTTGGTTACACTGCAATTGCCAAATACTGCCCTCATGTGAGTATCCATCACCATTTTCAAACATATGTTTACACATTCAACTTTTCATGATTCTGTTTCTGGTTATCTGAATGTTCTTTTCTTCAGGCACTTGTGCATATGATCAGCAACCCTGTGAACTCCTCTGTGCCAATTGCTTCTGAGGTCATGCTGGTGTTACAATTCTGCCATTGTTTTCTCAGGTATCAGTATTACTTGCTTTCTACTCTATGTTACTTATTTGCGTACTTTGCACACTTAATTTATCTGATGGGTGTTTTTGAATGAAGGTTACACCTCAAGCAAATAGTTTATCACATGAAGAGATCACTACTCTTACAATACGAACACAAGATGGTGGAACAGAAGCTGTGAAAGGGTTCTGCTACATTGTCAATGGCGTAAGTTTTTACTCATATTTCCACTTGCTTTTGTTTAGTTTGCTCATTCTAGTTAATCCCCAACCCTAATGATCTATACATACTCTGAGGTTTCCTAAACTAACCCTAATCCGTAATCCTTATTGATAAACTAAATAAAACTACTAAATAACAAGTGATATGAATAAAAGATGACTATCAAGTATCAACTAATAATAAAGTATAAAACTAAGCCTCTAACATTAATCCATAGATACAAAAATCTATCCTTCATGACATGCTATATTATGTGTCTTCATTACTATCGATCCTCTAGTTATATATTCATTAAGAAAAAGTGTTATCCCTTTAGTTTATTGGGAATAAAGTTTAACATATACTACATAATGCAAGTAGTCCATTGTATTATTATTAATTAGTTTCCTAAAATTCTAGTGGCTTGGTATTTGGTAACCAAACTATTGAATTAGGGTTAATTTAGGAAACATCGCGCTATATCTATCTTAACTCCATCCATAGATACAGATATCTTTCAACTCTTCATTAGTATCTCTAAATCGGATACTCCAAAATGTCTCTCTCACTTGAGCCTATCCTCTAGTTATCTGAAATACATATTCATTTAGAAAAAGTGTTAGGCCTTTAGCCTATTGGGAATAAAGTGTAACATATAACAATATAATGCAAATAAACCCATTGCTTCATGAATTAACAGGTATTTTGTATTATTAATTAGTTTCCTAAAATTCTAGTGACTTGGTAATCAAGCTATTGAATTAGTGTCGGTTTACGAAATCTCGAGTATATATAGAGAGAGAGAATTAGGGTTTTAAGAATTAGGTATGCAAAATCGAGTTAAGAAACCCTAGAGACCACCTACTTTGTATTAAGTTCTTATCAATGGTGCTATCATTAAACACATAGGTATGCAATTTACTTGTGATCCCTTTATGTCTCAAAGATCCATACCTTTATATTATATGATACCGCTTTATTAATATATTTTACTTCCATATAAAAACATGTAAATGTGCTAAAAATTATCATTTTGATATGCGTTACGTTCTCATAAATCATATTCTTTCTCACTTTGGGTTTTTAACGACAATCCAAACCTAGATCCTTATTCATGTATCATTACCTTAAAACGTTCGTTCCTAGACATACATAAAACACTATTTCATTCTTAAAAACCCCACAAACATGTCAAAATGTCAAATGTTACCTAACAATGGTATCCTAGGAGTATATATAGATCTAGCATACCATAATGCCAACAAATTTATTATTTAACAAAATACTAAACACCCCATACTTGGGTCTAAACCGATTTTTATAATTGCTCGAGCCAAGTAATTTAATATATGGATACATTCTTACCTGTTTTTCAATTATGGTGGTTTAAGTAAGTAAGCTTATGTGATAGTTGTTTGTTATGCAGTTTTGCATTTGCTGATGCTATTTAATGATGATTTAAGTAACTCAACTACCATTCATACATAACAATTTTTCTCAATACATAACAATTTCTGTTTTATAGAGTTGTTCAATACAATAGTTGAATGCACAAATTGTTGTGTATGAAAAAAAATATATTTCCTTTCTTTGCATCAAAGGTACTATCATAAACATAAATAGGTTGTAGGTTTAGTTTTATGTAAAAATTAATTAATAATCAATAAATAATGTTTGCATGCAGGTGAGACCAGGGAAAAATGGTGTGGAGAAATGCTAGTTGGCTCACTTTCAGACTATGAGAAACAAAGCCTTGGCTTGGAAAAGCACTTCTTCCAATAAATAGGAAATATCACATTTCAATAGAAAGATTCTTTCAAAACCAAGATTGACATGAAGAAGATAAAGCAACAGGCGTGTGTGTGTGTGTGTGTATATATATATATATATATATATATATATATATATATAAAAAAAAGGTAAAGATGCAAAGTTGAAAAATACAACAAACGAAACAAACAAGTGTATGTACATACATGCCTACTAGACCTATGGCAGATGTCGCATAACTATTATTATTACAAAGAATCAAACACCACTCACCCACAACTTATGATGCAAACAATCCAGCGGATTTGGATTTGGTCAATAATATCAAAAACCTAAACTAGCACCGGTAGCAATTTTTAGCAACCTACTTTTGCTACACCATACTCCTAACAAAAATCTAATTCATACAAATCCTAATTTTTTCTTTTCTAACACACCTTTCATATCATGCATATGAAAAGCATTTTTCCAAATTTCACAAAGTTGAAGGATTATCTGCAAAATAAGAAAAGAGAGAAATGTTTCAATCACCCTTGCAATCCATATAACAAACAATAATAAAATAGCATTTTACTTTAATAAATTAGGGCATTTTACTTTCAAAAGTGTACCCAACTATATTAGTGAAAACCGATTTGTGTATTTGAATGACATTGCTATTTTATTTATTCAAAGAAAAACAACTCAAAAGGGCTAAAAAATGATGACATTTCTAAAATGCAACATCCTCATTAGTCATTAGATTTATTCACCAAATACATCCAATAAAAGATAATAATCTAAACCCTAAGAGTAAACAAGAGAATGAGCAGCAATCTCAGTTTTATCTTCAGATCCTTTATTTCACAATCTACTTTCAACACAAGTTAAAACAAACAAGGTTGATCAAATTTCAAACTGGTAAACAGTTATTATTATTATATAAAACCTTACCATATAGAGTATCAATCAAGACACACATGTCTTACCATTTTACCTTTTAAGAACAAATAATAGCATGCAAATTGTGTATTAATGGGCAGCATATAAACTAGTAAACATTAGCATATATTTTAATTAAAAAGCACGGAATTTATAAGCTTAGGCTACCTTGATCTGCTCCAGTCAACTCCTAGGTCAACGCCCTGCATCCGATCCATCTGCAGATGAGCTGTCACTGTCTGAATCTACATAAAAAAAAAAAAAAGAATTAAAACATTTCAATTCAACACAAGTCTATAAAGAGCATCCTAACAAAGGCTAAAATAGTAAATTACCACTTGAAGATGATCCAGAATCACTGCTTGAACTGCTTGAACTACTAGACCTACTCACATTATCCCCATTAACATCTCCTTGATTTGTAGGAGGACTATTACCAACATTTTTCTCATCTGCTTTCTTATCCTTTAGTCCTTCTGGGATAGATTTTGTTGGATTCTGCAATAACATAATAAAATCAAAATCATGAATCTTGAAAGAAAAGTTTAAAGAAAAAAAAAAAAAAAAAAAAAAAACTGTGTATGATTCATACTTGTACCATGGTCGGATTAACATTTCCACCTAAAGATCTTGCCTGTTGAGCAAGTTCAGCTTTTCTTCTGTGTTTACTCAAACTCTTCTTATAATTTGTAACAAATCTATCAAGCTCCCATAAAGTTTCAATATCAACACTATCGATATCAACTTCAATCTCATCATCATGTTGTGAAAGTGAAGTATTACTCTTCTTGATAATCTGAACAATATTGTCAAGCTTTTCAGAAGGTAAATTCTGAAGATTTGCACTCAGCTTTTGCTTCTCTTCATATGTCATGTTCCTCTTGTTTAAATCCTTGGCTTTAGGTTTCTTGGGTACTGGTGTCCTACTCACAGGGGCAAGATTGGAAGGTTTTTGTCTATTCAAGAAAGGTAGACTCATAGGGGCATGTGGAAAATTATTCACCTGAGACTTTCTTGAATTTGTATCATAACTTGTTCCATTTCTCCAATCTGATTCAATCACTTCCCATCTTTCTTCAAAGATATTTGATAACTGTTCAGCCATAACATGGACATCTTGCCCTTGAGGATTATAAGTCATGGCATTATGAAATGTGAGTCTGACATCTTCTGCAAATTCACCAGGAGTTTTGTAGAAGTTTTGAGCTAATCGGCTCTTAATTGTGCCAAAATCCATGGGGTGTTTGATGATGTCATGGTAATCATGGAGTCCAAGAAGCTTCGCGTTAACAGGCTCATTAAACACCCAACCATGTTTATGCTTCATTAACCTCTGAAGCAAATTGCTACAATTCCTAAACACTTGATTCTTGTGTCTTTCTAAACCAATGGTGTAATCCGATTCCCTGTTGTATTTTCTTCCATTGTTTGATTTCGATCTCTTGTTGGTTTCAGGAGGTAATCTATCTTTTCCAAGAAGGAATTCTGAATTCCTGTAATATTGATTAGCCTTTGGTGTTCTTTTCTCTTTTTCAACAAATTCACCAGTTCCAAGGCTGTTATCAAGAATTGATACGTTTAGAGGTGGTCTGAATCGTGTTGGTTGTGTTGTTTCTTGATTTGATAAAGGACCAATTTCAGAATTGACTCTCATTAAGGCTCTTCTGTCTATAACATCAGGACCTATTTCAGAATGAACCCTTGATAAAGCTCTTCTGTCCATGTAATCTGTACCCATTTCTGAATTGACTCTAAGAAGTGTTCTTCTATCTATTGGGACATTACCTGGATACTGTGAATGAGTGTAGGTTTCATCATTGCCGGAAGTAGCAAGATTGGTTGAATAATCGGTGATTTCAGCTTCTTTATCTTCAAGCTTTTGAAATAAACTTCTAACTCGATCCAATTCTACCTTGAACTTCGCCCTAACCTCCTTAATTTCATTTTTGGGCGTTGATGCTTCCAGATAAATCTTCACCCGATCATCCACCAGCGTGACAATAGGTCTTCTTGCAATTCCATTTCCGTTAGGAACAACGGTTTCCATAGCAACATCTTCATGCCGTGGATTTTGACTGGAAGAATCATTTGAGGTTTCCGATATCCGTCTTAGCGTTTGCTCCCTTTGAAAATTCGCGTCTTCGGTGGCTAGGGTTTGGTCGTTGTTTGCGGTGGCGATTGGAGAAGCGGGGGTCGCGGTGGTGACCGGAGAACATGGAGTGGCGGTGGTAGATGTAACGGTGGAGACGGCGACGATGGTGGCGGCGTTTTTATTACCCTTTTTAGGTCTTCTAGTATAGACTTTATTGCCCTCGACCCAATTACTCTTCTCTTTGTTTATCTTATCCGCATCTAATGTCCCTGAAGCCATACATATACGAACACTCACTCTCTGAGAAAACTAATTAACAAAATCGAAAATTTATAAACCCTAGCTTTTATTCTTTCAAAAAAAAAAAAAAGGAAAAAGGGAAAAGAAAACCCTAACTTTATCAGAACAACCAGAAGAACTCCGATTTCTTCGAAGGAAAACGAAGAAATCGAATTGGTTCGATGAAGCTAGGGTTTGGAACAACCAGAAAGATTCAACAAATCAAACCCCAGAACGAAAACATAACCGAACCCTACGAACAAAATCGAACCGTAAAATCACAGAAATCGAACCCTAAAACCAGATCTGATGGTAAGAACGCCTCGAATCGGAGAAAAACGGAGATCAAAATTCACACGGAATCAGGGTTTTTCGGTGGTATGACGATCCTGATCCGTGACGAAAGAGGGGAAAAAATAAAATTAAAAATTAAAATAAATAATAAATCAAGAAAATATGAAAAAAGATAAAATTAAAAATTGAAAAAGATAAAAATTAGGGTTTGCAAATTGGGGGCGATTCAGAAGTGTTGTAGATCGGAGCGCTCTCTCTCTCTCTCTCTCTGTGACTGATGAAGCGCGAGTAGTGGTGGCTGCTTATTTTATATCACACGCGCTTCGATTCCTATTTGACTATGTCGGTTAGTTGCCGCTTTTTATATAAAAGTTGATTACTTTCTATTATATATTTTAGACAAAATAGCAAAACTGGTCCATCTGGTTTGTTATATTTTTAAATACGGCCTAAATCCGTTTAAAAGTGTAGATGTGGTCCTTTAAGAGGTTTTTGTTGTGAATATGGTTAACGTTAAAATTGAAATGAGTGTTGTACATTTAATACGGTTATTTTCTATTTTTTAGAGCAATTTACAAAAAGTCATTATGGTATCATAAATTTCGAAATTCACATTAAATTTTTTCTTTCGCAATTATGTCATTATATTTACAGTTTTGTTGCAATATCGACCAAGTGAACGATAATGTTTGTTCTCCTGGTAACAACTTTTCCCGAATTGCAATAAAATCATTATGTTTACCAAAATTGCGATTTTGACATTGTGTTTTTTCTCAATTATGTCACTATATTTATAATTTTGTTGCAATAAGATTTATCAATAACTTTATTTATAATACTGATTGATCTACTTATGTGAGAGGTGTCTAAAAGGTTTACATTGACTTGGTTGTTAGATTTCAGAAAGGCTATATATCGAAATGGTCATGCCTCCCAACTGTCTTGCCTATCTGATCCTTATGTGATAGAATTCTTGGTATTTATTGAGATTAGTGAAAGATATAACTTTCAATATCAGATTGTCATAGGGATTACTAAGTTAGAGTATTATAGGTTAATACTTGTTAGGCGCGTTACCCGCCAGTTTGATCGTCAGTAAGATCACCTAGATAGTTGTCAATCGTCTGAATAATTGTCCAGGTGAGTTATCTCATTATACTATGTGTTATAATATATGTCCATGTATGTTAGGATAGAGAACTAGTAGAGTAAAGCTGATAGTATAACCTCTATGCGCTGAAGTGTAAATGTACTTGAAACTAATATAGTAAGAAGTATAAATATGTTTGTTCTAGTAGAGACTACAGTGCAGTCTTTATGTGCATAATTGTTGTGATATTAGATTCAGTTAGAGGATGATGGCGGAACGACAAAGACGAAATGGTTGGGCCGTAAGTCTAAGATACACATATTATTGGCAGATCGTGAGTCATTGTTTGTATACATGTATATGTATTATGGTACATGGTATTTTAGGGAACTCACTAAGCCTCATACTTACCAAAATGATTATAAATGTTTTTCAGGGGCTTCATTGATTTGTGAGAAGGGGAATGTTCGACTGTACACACGCTCATTCGCAACATGTTTTCGCATAATGTAATTATACTATGATATATTTACACATATAAGGGTTTTCATTACACTAAAACGTAAACTTGTTGAAACAATTATGTGAGACAAAGTGTTTACCGTACCTACCAGAGTACACACTAAAGTCTTGAATTATAACCAGAATCTCAGTAAGAGAGCGTGATACTTGTGTATAGATCTATACGGGACTGACAATCCCGCACCTAAGCTGCAAGCTACAACTAGACTGGCAGGTCTGGGGTGACAAATGTCTAACATTCCGACGCCTGAAGAACGTCGCAGCAGACCAACTTCGGTTTTAGCATGGTTGTAATAACTCACATGAGAAATCAACGATACATTTAGTTTACAGGGTAACATGCGTTCAAATGGTTTTATATAAGAATAAAACTACGTAATACTATTTTAAGTATAGAAATACTTATACATTTTTGGTCTTAAGGTTTTTATGTAACACCTGGTTTGAATTGGAAAGGATTTATGCATGGACTCGGCGAGTTGGGAGGTCAACTCGTCGAGTAGGGTCGTGAGATCATGGAACGCGGAACGGGACCGACTCGGTGAGTCCGAGCTGTTTAAAGAAAACCCTAAATTTTGGGTTTTCCCCCTATATAAACGTCATTATTCGCCCCAGTAGCCTCCCTTAGCATCATAAGAGATCGTTTACAGCCGCAAACACTTGGGTGTGTGAAGTAAGAGCTTTGGGAGCTTAAACCTTGAGATTGTGGAAGGAATTTCGCTTGAAGAAGAAGTATCAAAGGGAAAACACTAGATCTAGCATCTAGTTTGTCTTGGGCATTGAATTGAGGTATGAATCTGTTACCTTAAGCCTAGATTCTATTTGAGAGTTATGACCAACTTTGAGGAAATGGAAGCAAGCTTAGATCTGGACCTATCACAAGGATATGGTTCCAGATCTAGACCTTCTTAGGTCCCAAATATCATAAAGTTGCACCTTTTAATAAGCTCATTCCCTCTCCATGCATGAAAACCTTGTTGAAGGATAGTTTTGGTGTTATGGCCATGTGAGGCCTTGCATGCACGTAAAGTTTGCAACTTTACGTGTTAACCACACTAGTAGAGTATGGATTTGAAGTTTGGGACCTTAAGTCCTACTAGAAGAGGCCGTAAACATAATGGACTAATAGGGACTCGGCGAGTCGTGCAAGAGTCTCGGCGAGTCGAGAGGGTTTCCTCGTTCACGGCTAAAAGGTTTACGGCCAAAGGTTTACGGCCAAGGGTTCACGGTCAAGGGTGTTCGGTTGGGAGTTTACGGCCGTAAACATCAAGGAACTCGACGAGTCCCTTGGATGACTCGGCGAGTCGAGGAGTTAAGCAGGGAACCCGACGAGTGACTGATTGTACTCGACGAGTCATGGTCAATATTGACTGTTGAACTTGACGATAGACCTTGACTTTGACCAGGGTTGACCCTGGGGGTATTTATGGGATTATGCTGAGTTATTTACTCATTGATTATAGACAGTTTGGGAAGAGCAGCACAGGACATACCTGAATTCAGTTGCTGATTCAGCTTTGGGAGGTGAGTCTTCTCACCATACACATGGGTCTAAGGCACCAAGGCCGGCCCATTATGTGATTATGTTATATGTGTTAGTTATTATGTGATTTGACATGATATGTGATTTGTTATGACATGTGATTGTGTGTTTTTGCATGGAAGACCCCGGGGGGAGCCCGTGACATTGGATATAAGACCATGTGGGGTAGCCCATGACATTCCTAGGTAAAGACCATGTGGGGGAGCCCATGACATTGGATGTAAGACCATGTGGGGTAGCCCATGGCAGTCCTAGGTAAAGACCATGTGGGGTAGCCCATGACAATCTTACAGGTTTTATGTATACATGGCTTATGTGTTATGTGTGTAGCTTTGATTAGCTAACAGGATATGTGTATGTGTGTGGTATGCTCTGGGGGACTCACTAAGCATTCGCTTACAGTTTGTGGATTTGTTTCAGGTTCATCTGAGTCCAAGGGCAAGGGCAAAGCTTGATGGCGCGACGTGCACTCTCTCTCTCTCATGCGACTTAATAGGACCCTCTGATATTTGAAAATATAGTTGTAATGAATATGGATTTGAAACAATTGTTTTGGAGTGTCTTGATTTATGGGAATGTGTTTGGTTAATTAAAAATGAAAAATTTCTTTGAAAATTTGGGTCGTTACAAGTTGGTATCAGAGCCTTGGTTTGAGGGATTCGGGCACACCTTCGGGCGTGTCAGGACTCAAACTAAGGAAATGATAAATTGTTTTCAAAATAAAAGTTAAAAACTTTTAAGAAATGAAAAGAAGAGAGTGCAACGTGCGCGATCGGCCTTGCCAAGTAAGTAGTTCCCAATGTGTTAGCCATGTTATACTGATATTTGAGCTTAATGATCGTATGAGACTTGCTATGTGTATGCTTTAAAATTATATACGGTTAGGAGCTTATAGCCTCAGAATGATTGATTTGGCCTTATTTCCTGTTCCTTGTTTGGTTGTGGTCCTAGGGTAGAATCTTTTATTCGAAAGTCTATTTGATCCTTTTCTGTGTATAATTTGCATGCATAAAGGCAACCTGTTATGATTGGTCTGATTGATATGGATAGAGAAAATCTTAGGACAACCTAAGATTTGAGTTCCGCGGTAGATGTGCGATAAGGGATAATGGTGACAAATTGGAGTTATCAGGTAGGACAGTGGGGAAAGGTACAGGTAGGTGTGGAAGGTAGTATTGGGCCCGTACTACTGGAAGCACAGGACCTGTACCCGAACCAATGTTAGATCTGACGACTTCAAGGAGGACCGGTGTGGAGAGATCCGTTTTATGAAAATCCTGATCGTTATGATTTATGACATTCCAGTTCAGCATGGTAGTGACACGTTTCGGGACGGGAGGATCAGGATCGGGATCTGGATCCGGGAATGGATCGGGTGACACTACAGACGGCATAGATGAGAGGCTGTGCGAGCTTATTGCAGCCGAGGTTACCAGGGGTATCCTTGACGCTACCCTAGTCGTTTTTTGGACGGTCAAGGAGGGCATAATGGAGATCATGGAGGAGAGACTCAGATCATTCAGGATTGAGATTGATGCGGGCTAGTTGGGG